GGCATAAATGCGTAATAATAAACTAGATCAGAAAAATTGCATCACTTAAACGTTCTGAATGTCATTAGTTAAGAAATTATTGATCAGGTCTGGGTATAAAGGATCTGGATATTATAAGACCCATACCCAAACCCGTTGGTTAACGAGTCTGGCGGGTTTTCGGTTCATAATAACGAGATCTAGACCCAATTCAAACAGGTTAATTAAGGTCAGGTATGGGTCTAGACCCAACCCATTAACAGCCCTAATGATAGCGGATAAAGCAGGTAGTTTTGACAAGATGATATCATAATTTGATTTTGAAAAGTTTTATATTTACTTTACAGTAGTCTTGTATTTTTGTACTGAGTAATGATGTCACTACTTTTTACATATGGAATTTGATCAGAGAAATTTTGCCCATTTATCATATGATTAGATAAAATTTTAAATTGAGTTCTCAAAAACAACTTAATCAAATTTAATGATTTTTTCTTTAAATGATGGATAAATAAGTAGTTATTTATAGGTATTTTTTATTTAAATTATACATAAGTAGTTTTTTTTTGTGTTTGTGTATTTTTGTTTACATCTGATTAGTTTTTGCAATGTTGAGTAAAAATAATTAAAATTGCTATGGTTTTTGAGAAAACTCAATTTAAAATTGTCCAAATTTCAACCAATCATAGTGATATGTTCCTCTATTTTAAACTAATCTTGAATGCAATTTAATCTATACAAGCACAATGCTGGCTCATGTTGCAAAAACACACTTAAAAAAACTCGGTAATATTGCCCTTTTTTCAACGTCTTACGTACTCTTCACTCAACTTTTAGATTTTAGTCTAAAGTCATAAACCAATGTATGTCATGGTTTGTATATAGCTTATCTCTTTAAAAGACGATTGATATATGAAACTACTCAAGTTTAAAGGTATAGGTATAATGTGTTTTCAATACTTTTCAACAAACTATTTTAATGAAAAAGAAAAACGTTTTTAATGATAAAACTATATTATTTGTAATAAAAATTACATATACTAAAAAATAGAAGACGAATTTGTATTTGAACAAGAAAACCTTGTATGAAAAAAATCAGCACCTTGCCTAAATGCAATGTTTTTTTCTAGAAAATTGCCATTGCTAGAAAAAGGCTAGGAAAAATAAAATCCAACTAAAAATACACCTATCTTGGGGCTCTTGATTGATTAAAGGGTAGAGGTGGTGAATCGATAAAAAATACTCATCTTGGGCAGATGTTAACTTCATCTGGCAAATGTCTTGTAAATGGACTTCTAGGAAAAATTTGAAAAAAGGAGAATCTGTCTAAATCTAATTGACCTGCTTTCAATTCTTTTTTGTTACAAATTTTTGCTATAATTTTGGTGTCATCAGCATACAATTTTAATACGTTTTTTATATTTTTTGACCATTAAAATATATCATGAATAATAAAGCTCCTAAAAATAATAAAGCTTCTTTTTATATTTTTTTAAGCTTCTAAAAATAATTAAGCTCCTATCATTTATGTTGAAAAATTTTTTCAATTTTTTTCTTCTCTATGATTGCATCAAGTTCACTTATATGACCACTGTGCCACCCTTAAAAGGTTGCATCTCTTTCTCTTTTCTACAAATATTATCATGGTCACTCAAAAGAGTAATCACTCTAATTTCATCAAGCTAAACTCATTATTGGTTGACTAGTCATTTAGCAAAGTGTCTGGGATAAAGTATACATCCTTATACTACTGCATCTGTCTCTTCGTGCCCTAAAAACATTTAATAAACTTTTTTTTTTTATAACCTTACTCTTTAATGACGATCTTCCTTTTTCTAGTAACTCCCAAACTAAAAGTGGTTACAGGAAGTTATGTTGAGAGTGAATCAGTTTAAAAAAAATCGGATTGAACTCAAAAAAAAAAAAAACTTTATGCATATCCATTTATGTTTATTATGAAAAAATATTTAGAAAAAATATTTTACATAATAAAGATTATCAACTATTTCAGGTTTTTTTTTATACTTTCAGTTAGAAAAACTAATTTTTTCAGTTTACAGAAAAGCTGATTATGTATCGCAGACATCTATACAGTGCAAAATTCTTGAATGTTTAATAAGAAAAAATTTAAAAGATTATAAACTTTCAAATAACCTAGTATCTGAAAATTAACATGTCTTTTTCAAAAAAAAATCTTGCATTATTAACTTGTTAAAAACTAGATTTTATCTCAAACCCTTTAGCATAGTATGTTAAAACATATTATGGTAACCTTGGTAATTTATTTATATAAATTTTTCAAATGCTTTTAACACACAAAAGATTACTAATTAAATTTGCAGCTTACGGAGTGGAAAACTGTAAAAGTAAATTAATGACACGAGTTTAAATCCTGCGATTACCAACTCAGCGCTTGAGTAATACTTCGGTACGCAAAAATGTTGAACAAAAAAGCCCTAAATTTTTAGCATCACCTGCCCCAAACGTGAAAGCAATAAGTTGATAAAATAGTTTTTATACTATTCTTAACTAAATCTATATTCATCAATAAATTTTAAAATTCACACAAAAATCTTTTAGCATTCAAAAACGATGACAATAAAAAGTTTGTACCCCCTCAGTTTGAGGGGGCTACAAATTTTATAAGGTCATAACTGTTGAACGCTAAGAGATTATTGTGCGAGTTTTAAAATTTATTGATGAATATATACTTGTTTGAGAATAATAGAAAAAATATTTTATCAACTTGTTGCTCTCACGTTTGGGGCAAGTGTAGCTAAAATTTAGGGCTTTTTCGTTCCCAGGCTTCAATCATCGCAATTTTATATAAAGCATCCTTATTTGATATAAGTAAAAACATATAAATTTTTGGAGTTTGCTCCATGTCTGGAAGTTAGGTATCTCAAACATCAAAAAATGCTGCATCCGCGCCTGATTCATTAAACACTATTTAACATATTGTTTTTAAATGTAAAAGTAATTACATTTTGAGATAAAATATTTAATTTTATAAAACTTTTAACAATATGTAACTTTAAAAAAAAAATTTATATGTAAAAGTAAATTACTTTTATAATATAATCAAACTCTACATAACTTGATAACATGATATAATCAAACTCTACATAACTTAATTTAAACATTTAAAAGTAAATTTACTTTTAATAGTAAAATTACATATTATTTATAAACGTAGTTAACTAAGTAGGTAAGAATGCCATCTCTACATCAAAATATCCAATTTTGTACCAACTTTTAGTTTTTCCCGCATAGGTCAAACCTTCTGTGACCAATGGTGTTGCTTGTCATGACTGTCCCAGAGACAAATAAAACAAGGAAACTTCATGTACCTCTACGTTGATCTAGAAGAATGTCAATCATTTTCAAATTAATACAAACTGTTATAGTCTTAATACTTAAATTTTTTTTATAACTTTAAAAACTTTAGATGCAATTGTTTATTTTTCTTTTAAAGTTGTCAAACGTGCAAAAGGTATGGGTTCAAAGTTTTTACCGTTATGAAGCAAAATGTACTCTAAACCTATCGCTGCTGTCTATTAAAAGACACAAATCTCTAGGATGATTAGTCTTTAAACTATTCTGTTGCTACCAACATTTTTACAGAATCCCAAATCTTTCTTTTGATAAAAATATTGTTATTGTAAACAGATTCTTTTCTCGCTTACAATAAAAAGTGTTGTTGGTTTCCAGAGTAAGCAACTTTTTTCCTTTCAAAGAGATGCTTAAATTTTCAAAGCATTTTTTTGTAAGTAGAGATCTCCTACTAGATTGAAATACTTAGTTTTAATTTCTGAAAAGCACCTTGTTTTTATCAATACAAAAACCTTTTTTCTGCTATGCAGATATTTGTCAGAGCTAAAAAAGCGTAGTAAAAATGGACCGTTCTTATCATTCTTTTAGATTTTTTGTCTTGATTCGCGGAGCCATCGAAGATAAAAAATGTAATAATTAGAACCATTAAAATTCTTTTTCACGCGCCATACGTATACACAAACGGATTGTTTTTTAAAGTTTTAAATGTTCGTTTGACTTACAATTGTTAATTGTTAGAGATTTCAGTACAAAGATTGCGTTATTTTGTTTTAAGTAATCCTGTGTCTATTCTCGGATGAGAGCATCTTTGAATCTTTTAACGGGGTGTCATGAAGTATTGCTAATGCTCGCAGAATCAATTTTAAAGGTGTGTGTGAGGGTTTTCTACCACCACCCCCTTTAATAAGGTGATTTTCAAATTATATTCAGTTTTTTTACGAGTTTAGATGGCTAGTTAGGTATTTAACACCATTAAGTCGGGTGAATTTTAGTTTTAAGGACCTTTTTTTTTTTCATTAAAAAACCATTCGGTACTTTTTAAAGGTTTAAATCCTCCTCCCCTCCCCATTTTGTTTAACGAATCGCCTCTGAATGCTTGTACCCTGTAATTTGGGTATGGGTACCCTGTAATTGGGATTGAACCTTGTAACACTATGATAATAACATTATTGATTTCAACCGAGGTAGAACAGCATATTTTTGTCAGAGAGTATAGAACTTCACTAAATGAAAAAAGAGCGCTCTTTTAAATCAAAAGTATTTTATATTTATATACGTATATATGTATATAATATATCATTGCTCTCAACATTCAATAAACGGCGGCTCCTTTGATCTATGAACCCTTTTGGTGAACTTTGAAATTTTTGCGGCGTTTAATCTTCTCATCTTTCGTGATAAATCTACACAAAATAACGATTAAATAAGTAAAGATTATTGATAATTAAATTTCAATATTATTACGTGGTTAACGCCACTATTTTAATATAGTTTGACTCTTAACAATTTGAATTTCGATATTCTTTCTCTAAATAGTTTGCAAGTAGTTAAAAATGTGATCTTATATTTTTGATTGATTAGTTTTATTTGCTAACAATTTATGCTACAGATACCTAATTACGTATTTATTTAATATTAACAATTATACTATTTGTAAACAATCTTAGAGTGTAAAACAATTTCAGAAATATATTAATTGATTATTTCTAGATATTTAAAGTAATTCAAAAAGTAATTAGAAATGCTTTTTGAATCAATGCTTCATTTTATGATTCTGATCTATGCAACGTATGTACAAGCATTTTATCTTCCCGGCCTTGCCCCTGTATCATTCTGCAAATTAGAAAATGCCAATGACAAGTGTTTAGTAAGTAGTATTTTGTTATTTAAAATGTCATAATTTATTCAAGTATGTTTTTTCTTATATAAATTTCCAATTATATTGTAGTAGCTTCTAAATGCAAATCATTGTATAATCATACTTAACCTTAACTTTAAAAATGGATACATGCAGACAGTTTTTTTAACTGATTAAATGTTTAGTTACCAGATATTTTTATTGTTTAAAAAAAAACTTTTATATTCCGTTCATTTCGAGTAAAATTATCCTATTTAAATTTAAAACATACATTTATCCACTAGTTTTATAAGAATATTTTTATTTTTTTTAAATTATTAGTTTTAATTGCAGCATCACTACTAAAAATGGTTTTTTATTTTAAAAAATTACAGAGTAACAAATATAAAAAATATTTTATTAATTTAATATATATATATATATATATATATATATATATATATATATATATATATATATATATATATATATATATATTGACTATCTAGGATAAACTGGCAATGGAGTGCTGTTACATTAATTAACAAATTTCTTTTATTTCTTAACATTTGTATATATAAATAAGAATATTTTAAATTTTAAAAATTATTTGTTCTAATTTTAGCATCACTACTAAAAATAATTTTTTATTTAAAAAAATTAGAGAGTAGCAAATATAAAAAATATTTTATTAGTTTATTAAATGTTTCTTACTTTAGCAGCAATTTTGTGTGAAAGCAAAGGTTATTTTTCCAAGCACGATTTATTAAAACTATATCATTGTAGATAACATTTATTAAAAAATAATTGCTGTGCTATCAACATACATTTAGTGCAAATACTTGATGCAACATATGAACAGATTTACAAGGAATTTTTTTTTTAGTTTTAAATTAAATTTTTAGGAAGGAAAACCAAAAAAATAGTTGTGATAAAAATTTATTCTTAAAAAAAAAAGCTGATTTTTTTTAAGAATAAATCAAATTTAAATATTAAACAATGTTTAGTAATATTTTAAATAAATTTAACAGTCAAGTTCAACCCAAAATTAAAGTTTTAACCTTAATTTTGTTAAACTTGAATATATTTTTTTATTCAAAATTAAATAATATTTTTTAAATAAAAATCAAATTATATATATATATATATATATATATATATATATATATATATATATATATATATATATATATATATATATATATATATACATACATACATACATATATATATATATATATATATATATATATATATATATATATATATATATATATATATATATATATATATATATATATATATATATATATATATATATATATATATATATATATATATATATATATATATATATATATATATATATATATATATATATATATATATATATATATATATATCATAATAAATTTTTTTATTTTTATTGAATTAACTATAAATTAAAATCATATATTTATTATCAGAATTAAATTAAATATTTATTATGATCTTTGCTTTCAAACAAAAAAATCAATCATTACAATAAAATGAAAATGAAAATAATATTTTTTTTCAACATCTTCACTTCTAACAAGGCTGCAAGCAACCATTATTAGAAGTTTATTAAAAGAGAAAAATATGAAATTTATAAAGCAAGGTAATAATTAACAGACAACTTCTGCAAATGATATGAATCAGGACAACAAGATGAATAAAGTGAAGTCCAAAGAACTGATGTTCGAGGAAAAAACTGGAAGAATAACAATTTTTAGATTTAAGAAAAAAAATGCTTAGAAACACAAAGTGACACAAGCCTTCCCAGGAAGCGTATGGGATTGCATGCCTTGTTCGTCCACACTTCAAGTTATTTTTTTAGACACCTTGACCACATTTTTATATAGTAAGTGTTTTAAGAATTTGCGGCAAAATAAAGCTATAAGAAACTAGATAAAATAAAAAACCAATACTAAAAAAAAAAAACAGACTATAACACATGTGCCATAAAATTTGAGACTGGCTTTAAACTTGAATAAAACCTTAAATAAACACTATAAATTTTTTTTTTGATATGTTCTTAGAATTAAATATGCAGAATAGGTAAATAAAAATAAATTTATCACAAGACTGCATATCTTTGAATTTAATCAAGTCTGGTATTGATACTTTGTGCCAGCTTTTTTACAGCATTTAGGTTAAGTCTACTGGCACAATAAGAATCCGACGCTCAAGTTTGATATATTATTTGTAGACCATCCATTCTTATACACATCCCGCATTGCCCAAAAATCCTCTATAGCACGAGCTTCTGGTAAGTGGATTGTCTTTTTTATGAACAAATGGCATCTTCTGGGTTTTTAACCATTTTGTTACCAAATTAGCATATTGAGATGTTGCTAAATTGGGCCAAAAAATATACTTGGTGTCTCGATAATATTTATTAATTAAAGGTTGCAATCACTTTTGTGAATGCTCTTTTAAATAGATCTCTTGGTTTACCACTTGGCCAGAAGGAACAATGTAAATAGATGTGACACCATTTAAAAATTTTGTTCAAATTTTGCAATATCATAATATTTAATGTCTACTATCAATTTTTGATCATTTAAATAGTATGTATTATTACCAGCCAGTGTGTTATTCAACATAGTAAAGTAAGATTCAATAATAAATTCATGGTTGTGATTTTTTGAATAAAGTTGACCACATTTTCAGCGACCCCAAAGCCTCTGTTCAGGAGTTCTGCTTGGTCTTTTTTTTCTTTTATAACAAAGAATAGGCTTTTTAAAGCATTTTAAGATTTGTTCGATGGTGTTTTTGCTACAACCAAGTCTTTTAGAAGCCTTTGAAAGTGACGCACCTCTTCGATTGTTAAACATTTTCCTTAATTTGATGCAGTTGTTTTGTGTATTAAGAGTAGGCCTTCTTCAACTTCCAGCTTTGCGACCCAATGGTTTATTTTGATCGTAACTGTACATATATCTATAAATTGTAGCTTTTGACTAGCCCTCCATCTTGAAATGGTTCCAAACAACGTGTTTTCCATCTTCATGTTTTTTTTTTTATAAAAATTATACACACAACTTTTTAGGGCTTGTTGGTTTGGCATTTTAAATTGTTTTTTAAACAAAAAATAGTTGAAGAATTTATATGCTAATTGAAAGAGGAAAGATAGAGCTTTCATTTGATACCAAATAATAGTTATTTTATCAAGCTTACTAATTGAGTATCGCTAATTAAAGTTAGTCTCAAATTTTATGGAACAGGTGTTACGAAATAGATAATAAAATAAGCTAAAAATTTGAATATTAATAAAAGAAAAATGTTTTATTTTAAGTATATTATTCTTTTGAAAATTTTTCACACCAGCTGACATTATAACCTGTGTTTCTTTTTGAATACCTCATTCACTGATTAAAATTCTTCTGTGATTTTTTGCATTCACTGGATAAAATGCTCCTTTGAACTCTTCTAAAATGTATTATGCCGTAGTGGTGTAGTGGTAGAGCGCTCGCTTCATAAACGAGTGGTTCCGAGTTCGATCCCCATCACGTCCCTGGTAGTACCGCGCTCAACTCATTTCTCTGCGCAGCGGCCTTGTTCATCAAGGTTCGTGTTTCGGAGTTATAGAGTTGAGAGAGGGTTATAACCACAAATAAGCAGCCTCCTCGTCTGTAGTGGCCTTCTCGGCTTTGAGGAGGTGAATTAAATTAAAAAAAAAAAAACGTAAAAGTAATTTGCATTTATGTTTCCTCAAATGATGCATTCACTGATTAAAATCATAATTCAAAAAAATTTCAAAAGAATAATATATCTAAACATTTTACTATTTTTGTTTTCTTATTTTTAGGGCTTTTGTTATTTTCCACTACCAAAATTAGTTGAGGAAAAAAGCAGATAAGAATATAACAAAAATAAAAATATTTTTTAATATACAATTTTTTTGCGACTTTTTTGAGTAAATATATTAAGGAAATACTTTATCATTTGCGCTGTTATTCTGTTTTTTAGTGTTTTTGCTAAACTAGTGCATTGTTAATTTACATGACTTTTTTAACAAAATTTTTAGGAGCCTATTTAAAACTTTTTTTTTAAGTTTTTAAATACATTTTTTCAAACAGAACAATTGTTATGTTCATTATCTCTTGTAATTCTGATCAACTTTGGAAATTGGGCAATATAAAAAAAAACATTCTCAGACATGCATTGAATGCGGTAAATACATTTATTAACCAATGTTATTCTTTTAAATAATTCCGTCATTACAAATTTTATTAATCAAATAATATATTTAACAAATAAATAGCAATTTATTTTCTTGTTTTCCCGTTATAAAAGTATTGAGAAAAAACGTTAAATTTAGCAAAAACATTTTTAAAAGAGGAAAAAAAAAGCTAAAAACAACGACTCTAAATAAAAGAATACAAAAGTTGTATAAAAATTTTATAAATTTTTTTTTTTATAATTTATAAATTTTTTAGGTTGTTTAATTAAACTTGATATTTTGTTATAATTTTTTTTCCTTTTTTTAGGATTGTTTTTTTTTTAGTAATTAAGTTTAGCTTTTTTCCGCCAATTGTTGAAACACTTTATAAGTTAAAAGATGCTAACTGCTGTGGTCAGTTTGTCTAAAAAAATTCCTTCAAACGTGGATGAACAAGGCTCAAGGCACACCCTTCATGGTAAGGCTTAGTCATAGTAAAAGGATAAGAAAATAGAATGACAAGTAACACAAGAATGAATTTTAGTAGATGGCACAAGAGACTCTGGCTTGTTAGAGTATTGCTCATTATTGTATTTATATAAAAGAGAAAGAAAAGCAACATTACGACGATGTGATAATTGTTGAAGGTTAGCTGCAAGAACAGGTCTAACTATGTTTACAATGTGTTTTTGCGCCTCGTCTAAAAGTGAAAGGGCATCATTGAAAGAACTGCTCCAGATATGGCAATAGTATTCCATACAAGGATTTATTTGAGATTTATAGAAATAAAAAATAGAACCAGGAATAAGAAAGCGGCAAGCACGATAAAGAGATGTAACCTTAGCAGATGCATTAGAGTTAATCCAAGAAGATGAAGAGTAAATCGCTCATCAAGTACATTACCATTCATAAATATAGGAAGATCTAGATTGCTGCAATAATGATTAGCTGAAAAATATCAGGTTTATCTGAGTTAAAGTTCACCAGCCACTATGAGCCCCGTGCTGTAGCAGAAGTAAGATCCTTTTCAATTTCAAATGCCCCTCCAAGTAATCAGAGAATCTAGTTTTAATAATAAAAATAGTAATTTAGGCGAAGGAACTTTAAAATACACAAGATGAATATTTTTCTTAGAAAATAAATAATCAATTTTTTTATATACAACACTTTTCAGAGACTCAGGAAGATCATTTATATAAAGTATAAAAAGTAGTGGACCCATTACAGTACTTCAAGGAACCTCACTGTACACCTCAGCCCAAGTTAGAACATCTCCTTTATCAGTTCTGTGCCTTCTATTAGATAAGAAAGCTTAAAACCAATGAAGCGCCAAGCAATCAGTGCTGTGGAGTCAGAGTGGTGGAGTGGCAACATTTTTAGCAGAGTTAGATTCGCTAAACAAAATCCGACTATTCCGACTCCAATAGTAAAACTTCTCAGTATTGCACGTCCATGTACAAAATATTCAATTAACCTTATATTCATATTAAACCTTGAAAGAACTTTTTATAAATTTGGCAAAAAAAAATTTTTTCAATTATTGCGTATTATTTTTTAAAGAATTCAAAGAATTTTTCCAAAATTTTGTTTTGGAGTCTAATATATTCAAGTTTTGAGATAAGCCTTTGATGTGGAATTTATCAAATGCTTTTGAAAAATCAAGTAAAGCTACATCAACATGAATTACTTGATCAACAATTTTTTTAATAAAATCTAGAGTTTCAAGTAAATTTGTTGTACATGGCGTGTTTGTAGTTCCTGATGTTTTTAACAAACCCATGCTGTTGATTAGCAATAAAATAATTGTTTAAAAAGTATTTTTCTAGTTTGCTTTTATTATCCTTTAAAGTATTTTAAAAGTAATACAAGGAAGTGATATAGGCCTATAATATCCAAAATCAGTCTTGTTACCTTTTTTATATAGTACATTTATATTTGTTGAATTAAATTGATTTGCTAGTGGACTTTTTTCATTGACTCCATAAAAGTTAATGTGAGGGAAGAGTAAATGAAGTAGTTATATATACAGGATAGATAGATGTAACTTGTCGGCTCTGTATGCTTTGTTATGATCAAGATTGTTGAGCCTTTCAAGATTATCATAATGAATATCTTCAGAAGTTGAATTAAAGGTGGTATCGTTGATTCTTGTTTTAAAAAAAGGAGTGCACTTTTTACTTTCTTTAAAAAAACAATTAAAAAATTTGTATTTAGTATCAGCAATCTCTTCTAGAACTTGAGTTATTTCACACTTGGTAGTTGAGTCTTTTACATATTGTTGTGAATTCATATATCTCTATAAAGCTTATGGATTTTTTTTAGCTTTATCCACAATCATTAGTTCATGCTTTGGTTATTTTGCAGAAATTATAAATAAAACTCTTTTTGATAATTGTTTATATTGGCTACAAAGATTTGAATTTTTCCATTTACTTGAACAATTTCTTTACCTAAAGTTCTGATTTTTTCTATGAGTAAGATAAGGTCTTTGTTTGGCCATAGCTTCTTTAATGATGAATTTATGTATGATGCATTATTGGTATATACAAGTTAACTCGTCATACATTTCTTGAACATTTTTATATATATAAAAACACTGAAGGCAGTCAACACTTGTAATACAATCTTGAATTCCATTATTTACAGCTTTTCTGTATAAGAATTTCTTTTCTTCTTTATTTACATTCATTCTTTTATTTTTAAGAATCACAATATCAAATGACCTCTGTATATGTTTCCTTGAATAAATTTACTAGTGATGGAACTTTTATTTATAAGACATGTTTGATGATTGAGTTGTGAATATCTAAAATGTTTACAGCAGATTTGTTGTTGAAATTTTAGTAGGTTTACATGCTGATATAGGTAATTGTCATTTATTATTCAATAGAAAACATGCCTGATGATTCTTTAATTGAGGCTATTGAAACCATTAGACCAAATTATCCCAGGAAAATTAAAATCTATGATTAGTTTATTGACATCTTTTTGGTCATCATATCCTCTTGCAATTTTAAATATGTTTACAATATTAGTCATATTTGTAAAATCATAAGGTCTATAAATACATCCAATAAGATATTTATCATTGCTGAATTGGATAACAATCTAGACATGCTCTATTTGACTCAATTTAAATGCATTATTGTTAAGTTCATATGAAATAATTTTGTTTTCAATATAAATACATACACCTCCACCTCAATGACCATTACATCTATCGTTCTTATATAAACAATGACTATCTAAATTGCAGAGAGAAGTAAGTTTGTTTCAGTAATGCTGATTAATTTAGGATTAAAAGTTGCTAAACTACTTGTTTAAATTGGTCAAATTTGTTGTCAAGAGATGTGGCATTAAGGTACATGCGACTTATTTTTTCAATATTACTCATAGATAACACATGGTTAGCCTTACTGCCTAGCTTCGATTTAATTCTTTTTAAATTTTTGTATCTGATTTCCACAGATACCATACCAAAAAGTATCTGTCTACTTAAGGGCATTATTCAGTTTATTTCTCTCTGTTTTTAGTATGAAATCCTGTTGACATTCAGCATCTTTTAAATCTGGAGATGCTTATATGTTTAAAAAAAAATTAAAAGCAGTTTTAATTTTTTTGATGAAATAAGTATTTTGCTTTGTGAATCAGAATCAGCCGAGTAAACCAACAATGGACCTGGTTTGTCAGAAATTTTACTTCTTAATCATCTCACATTATCAAAATTTATGTCTTGAATTCCAATTTCTGTACATATTTTCAACGCTTTCGCTTTACACAGTTGCAAGCATACTTTTGTTTTTTATTCTGCTTTTTATTATTTATTCAATTAGAAAGTGATAAGAGAATCACTCATGCAATATTTTTGAAGTTGCTGAATGGTTTCCTTGTCCAAAAGCTGGCCAGTTTTCTTCTGCCAAAAATTGGTTGTTTATTTTTTGATGTAGAAAGGCTACCACTCTATACAGTGCATTACCTCCTGTAAGAGAATTTTTATTATTATATTTCTAATATATTTGGCACAAAAATAAAACCTTATTACTGCAAATTTGTTGAGTTCATGTATTTAGTTTTATGAAAATTGATTAATTCAAGTGAACTATTATAGCCCTACAGCTCATACTTAATCTATTTTCAATGAGAAATAGCAGTCATCAAATATTTCTAGCTAGAGTATAGCGTTTGGAAAATCATTTTTCAAATTAATTAACATTATGTAAAAATGTAAAAAATATTCTTATTTAAACATTCAGGTAGCCTAAAGTATAATTAAAATGTTTTTGCTATAATTGTTCTTTAAGATAATTTTAATTATATGTATATATGTATATAATTGTTCTTTAAGATAATTATAATAATATGTATATTGCTTCAAGTTCAAGCTTCTAATCGTAAAAATAATGGAAAAAAAAAATCATGCACGGAAATGGAAATCCCTCAAAGTAAATTTTAACAAACTTATTTTTATAAGAATGTTGCTCCAGAACAACTGCAGGCCTTGTTAAAAAGTGTTACGCAGTTTGCATTTTTTTGTATGAAATGGTGATTTGCATACACGTTTAGCAGTTTTTTATTAAGTAAAAAAATTTTTATTGTAGAATATTTAATTTTTTAATATCGTTTGTGACATTTATTGAGAAAATATCAAGTTATTAAAAAATAGCATTTAAGGGCAGCTGTGAATTTTTTTTAAAGAAACTGATTATTTTATATAATTTTTTTTTTAACTAAAGGGACTATGAATTAAATATGATTTAAAAATTAAAATTTTAAATTTATTTTTGAAGGAATGTAAAATAGTTAGTAAAACCTAGAACATAATATTTAGTTTCAAAGGAATGTAAAATAGCTTTGCAATATTTGCAACTTATCTGCTAACTAATTCATTAAAATAATAATAATAATAAAATATAATAAGAATAAATATAAATAATATATATAAATAATAAATATACATAAAATAATATATAATAAATATTATATAATAAAAATAATATATATAAATAATAAATAATAATAGTAAAAAATAATCTTCATCATACATTATAATATGTGAAAGCAAATAAAAAACTTTTTTTTCCTTTAAAAAAGGGAGAAGTGTTTTTGTTTAAGAGAATTTAATTCACAAATTTATCTAAAAAATTTTGTTTCTTATTAATTCAATATTGCATTAAGCTCTTTTGAGCGGTAACTGACAAAATGTATCTTTAAATATAGTTTATAAACTTTATTAAAAATATTACATAAAATATCTAAAAAATAAGTTGTGATAAAGAAACAAAAGATTATGTTAAGAATAAATTGTTATAAGAAATAAATTATAAGGAAATATAATCTTTTTTAAATACCAAATTTAAATTTCATCAGTAATTTTTGTTATGTTAGTTAAAATTATTTTTAACACGGTTTAAAATTAACTATATCATGGTATTTTAAAATATGCTAATGATGCAATTTAACTTTTAATGGTGTAAATATCAAAGCTGTGTTAAAGTTACATTTGTTAGCGTTAAGCATTTTTGTTATGCAATAAAAGGCCTGAACTGTATACATATATTCCATTCTGAGAATCAGTATAACCACTTATGAAACAAAAAGGAAGTGGTTAAATAACACTAATTGGTACTTAAAAGAACTTCTTGCATGCTCAATATTCAAGAATTTGAGTTTCTGTTGGAAAACCTTTTTATTTCATCAAAAATATCTTTTTTGTATGTTTAAATTTATAAGAATATTTTTATTTTATTTTAGAGTGTCATCAAGCTTTATGTCAATAGCTTAGACTCAGTGGATTTTATTATTCCTTACGAATATAGCAGGTTATTTTATTTTTATTATTCTTTACAAATATAGCAGTTTATTTTTGTTAAAAAAACACATATATTATACATTTATTTGTTTATCAATATTGTTATAATCTTATAAATAAATATGATACAGAGTTAAAATTCCACTACATGTTTTCTTGTGCAGTGTTCTTACTTGTCAAGATTAGATTACACTTTGTCAATTCATCACTTGAACTTTTTATTGTATCAGATATTCTTGTGCATTTATTTTACAAAAATGTCTTCAATCAAGTTTTATAATTCCAGTAATAATATTAAGGCTATGGTAAAGTCAATCTTAATATGTATGCTGTTGCTAGGGTATCTTGTTAGTTCAAATAATATAAATGTTTAGCTAAATAACATACATACTTGGATAAATATTTCTAGGCTGCTGTAGAGTTTTTATCAAGTAAGCACATGAGTTTTTTTCAGAAGTTAAGAAAAGAAATCTAAATAACATTTACATTTCGTGGTAGACCTAAGGCCATAGTGGGTATGGGTAATTTAACAAAGCATATTGACTGCAAAAAACTTTTTTTAAACTTACTTCTTTTGAGGCTCTTGCCTACACATAAGTATTTAAATATATAATCATGTAAACCTTCAGTATACAATCATGTAAACTTTCAATATATAATCATGTAAACCTTCAATATAAGTCAGTTTTTATTGTTTTCTACAAAATATATAAAACTGAAAATAATTTAAAGACATCTTCCAGACTTTCTCTAACAATTGCTCTTAGTTTTCTCAGACAATTGAGTTACCTTGGTGGATGGGAAATTTTCTCAGATACAAAAATCCTTGTGAGTTTTTTTTAAATGTTTGCATAACTGCAGCTATATGTTTTGATGTAAATGTTATCTAAATAGAAAACTAAATAGAAAACAAAATAGTTTTTTTTATTTTTAAAATTCAAGTATTCTAAGTTTAAAATTTTCTTTCATAAGTATTTTATGACAAATAAAAATCTGATTTTTTTTTGTGGTATCACAAAAACATTTTTTGGGTCTTCTCATTCATTTTAAATGTGAAACAATGTTTTCATATTTTAATGGTTAAAAAATAATTTCAACAGTTATCAGTTGGTAACAATTAGTTACCAGTTTCTTTTTTTTTTAACCTTATGTCAACTTACTAGAATGAGGGGTTTAAAAAGCTTGAAGTAATGAAAATCGAGAAAGAAAACAGAATAACCAATAAAATTGTTGTAAAATGTTGAGAACAACTTAAAAACTTATAAGTATTTACATTTATGCAAAAAATGTTGACTGGAACAACAAAATACATTAAAATACATAATTATAAACATACATCGAATTCATCCTAATAAGTTAATAGCACATGTTGTTTTATGGTAAATATGCTTTTTAACTATGCATATATTTTTAACTATGGTAAATATGCTTTTTCAACAATCTGATAGTTTATGTTTATTATTTTAACTTGTGAAATTCTTAGATTTAAATTTCTTTTTAAATTTCTTAGGTTTGATTTTTGTGAAGATACAGATAAGTCAGATACATCTCCATCTGAAAATCTGGGACAGGTACAATGTTAATTTCATGAGTGTATTTTTAATCAATTAATTTAACTATAAGACTAAAATCTTTTTATAAATATCTCAATATTTCACTCATCCGCAGGGCAATTGGAAACAAACTAGAGGTTTCACCCCCTCTCTTTATATATATATATATATATATATATATATATATATATATATATATATATATATATATATATATATATATATATATATATATATATATATATATATATATATATATATATATATATATATATATTTATATATATACATATACATATATATATATATATATATATATATATATATATATATATATATATATATATATATATATATATATATATATATATATATATATATATATATATATATATATATATATATATATATATATATATATATACATTTAAACAATTTTTTATATATTCAAACAATTCTAAAATGTATTCTAAAAAGTAGAGTGCTCAATGTTCTTATAAGAACAGAGCAATTATAAATTGTTAGAATATAAAACCTGGCCACACTAAAAATTTAATTGCTCATTTAAAGCACAGCATAATATGAACTAGTAAAATAGATGTGACAAAATACAGCGTCTGTTCTAAAGAGATTGCAATTTAATGCCAAAAGTTATAGGTAAAAAAGACTGGTAAGGTAAATTTTTATAGGTAAAAATGGTAATGCTAATAATAACTAATTAGTATTAAATATTGGATATGGTTATTTATATAATTTTTAATCCATTAAGCCAAAGTTCATAGACAAACACAATAAAATTTGACTTTATCCTTCTTTTTCTTTTTTTTTTAATGCTATTGGGAAAACATTTTATTACACACATCATACAAAAATTAATTTTTTTTTTGTATGTTGCAAATTTAAATAACATGATTTAAAAACTTTAAGTATTTTCAATAAATACCTTAAAATGAATCTAATGTAATGTTATTAGGATAATATTTAAACTTTCTAGTTTATACTTTACTTTATAATTTAAATTTGTTATTTTTACAGGTGGTATTTGGTGAGCGAATTCGTCCATCACCATATAAGGTATTTTTACTTTATATTATTTTTATTTTTAAAGAGAATAATTTTTAATAAATTTATGAAATCTTTTGATGATGAAGTATTTTGGTTATAAGTTTTTTTGGTTAAATTTAGTTTAAATTTAATGAAAATATGACATGTAAAGAAGTTTGCACCAAAACATACAAAAAAGATAACAAAGAAGATGATGCAAAACTTGATTTTTTAAAAAAAGGAATCATGCAGAACTATCAGCATCACTGGTAAATTTTTTATATTAACGGATTGCTTTTGTGTAAGCTTTTTAATTGCAAATGGACAGAAAGTGAAAAATATGCTCTTTATTTAATTTCTCCTATTTAATTTCTCTTTCTATTTCTATACAAGTGTAAGTAAACAAATATTTTAATGAAGTTTTTAAAATTCTATTACTTAGTAAATTAATAAAAGTGTTTTGTTGACCATATTTCAGCGCTGTCTAAATTACAATATCTATTATAATAGTTTATATATATATATATATATATATATATATATATATATATATATATATATATATATATATATATATATATATATATATATATATATATATATATATATATATATATATCTGTGTGTGTGTGTGCTCATTATTTTGGATTTTTTATCATGATTTTATATGAAAATTAAAAAAGTTAGATTTAATTTAAGGATTGTATATATTTTTTACTTTATTTAAGGATTGTCGATAATATGCCTGTTACATGGTGCTATGATGTTGCAGATACAGAAAACAAAAAGTACTGCTCTACAGGATTTCCTATTGGATGCTGGGTAGCAGAAAATGGAGACCCAAAAGATGCTTGTGTTATAAATGTAGATAATTTTCTTGTTCTGTTTTTTTGTAGCTAAAATAGATTTTCTAGTTTTAAAATATCCTAAAAAAATATAGGATTACAATTTAAAAATAGAATAGTGAATTTATTTAGGAATAAAACTTTAGTGAAAGATATTTAGATTTTAAACAGTAAATTTGAAATTTTTAAAGAAAAAAATTAAGAAGTGAAAAAAGTTGTTGAAAGAAGTTTCCAGTTTTTTACCAAAGTCACCTTTAATACTACTTGAAATTCACAATTGTCAAGTAATATACATAATAATATAGTGAAGTGAAAATGTGACAAGTGATATGATCCTATTTCACTCTTCATGTTTAGTTAAGAAATATTTTTGAGATAAACAAGTCGATAGAGTTGTTAGTGCGTAGAAAAATAAAAGTTTGTTAAAAGATAATGATCTTTAATTTAATACCTTTGTTGTTTTCCAAATTTTTACTCATACAATTATTATAACAAAAAAAACAACTTTAATTTAAACAAAAATTCAAACTAAATATTTAAAATTACAAAATGTTTGCATATATATATATATATATATATATATATATATATATATATATATATATATATATATATATATATATATATATATATATATATATATATATATATATATATATAAATATATATATATATATATATATATATATATATATATATATATATATATATATATATATATATATATATATATGTAAATTAAACTATTCTGATCTAAACTTCAAAAAAATATTTTCAAGTTCAAAAACATGGCAAGCAGTTACTACGTAGCCTCTTATCCATTAATGAAAAAATTTTAAATGGAATGCTTTTTATAAATTATATTTAATCTAACATTTATTTATTTTTAATTCTTTTAGATTATTTCATGTAATACTTACATATTAACTATGTTATGATAATCAGGACATACATATATTTTTAAAAATTTTAATGCTTAGTAATAAATTTATTTTACTGTGGTATAAAAAAATAATAGATTAATGTATACGTAAAAGTGTAATTAACTTTTGAAATTATCTATAATTAAATTCATAGTTGTTGCTTTTTTTAAGGAGATAATGTTTTGGAATTATTTTTTAACTATTAAAATATGAAAACATTTTTTCACATTTAAACTTAAAGGAAATGAGGAGACCCAAAAATGTTTATGATGCCACAAAAAAAATCAGATTTTTATTTGGCAATCATAAAATATTTATGAAAGAAAATTTTAAACTTAAAATACTTGAATTTTAAAAATTAAAAAACTATTTAGCTAACATTTTTCATAATTTTCTGTTTTTAATAATAACAACATTGTAAAATGATAATATTGTCAAACCATAGGATTGTGTAATGATGAGTTTCAAAATGATAAAATATCATAGAATTGTGTAATGTTAAGTAAATTCATAGGATTGTGTAATATGATGTGCTCTGATCCAAAAGCTATTGATAAGAAGTTAATAAAATTTAATTTTAGCCAAAATATTCAGAAAAGAACACATACTATGTCTTTAACCATGTGAGCATTACAATCACCTTTCATGAGGGAAATGGCGAGCAGTGGTCTGGTGCAAGACTTCTTTCGGCTAAAGTAGAACCATCCAGGTAAAAATGAAGTTAAACCAATAACTACAAATCTAATTATTAAAGACTTTTTTCGTTTTTAACATTTTTAGTAAATGTTTTTTTTTTCCTCTTTACATGATCATTGGGCATATAATTGCCCTAATAAGAAAGAATGCAATATCTGCAAAATATTCATTTTGCACAATTCAATATACAAATATATAAAAATTATACAAATTAAATAAATTTTAAATTAATATTTCCTGTTGATACTGAGAAATGGAAACAACTAAAACAGATAATTAGAAATCAAATATGGTTTCCGTATTTAAACACCATGTATGGTGTTTAAATTCTTATTTACACACCATATATGGTGTTCTTATTTACACACCATATATGGTGTTCTTATTTACAAATCATATACAGTTTTCCAATTTACATAAGAAAAAAAAAAAAAGAAAATAATATTTAAAATGTTTTTTGAAAATTAAGTTATTGTGTTCTTTCATATCAAGACAGGCTTTTAAGATCTGGTTTTTTTTGCTTTTTTATAGTGTAGATCATGATTATACTACTGAAGGTGGAGAAACAAAAGTTAAAAGCTGTCCAATTATCAAAGCTAAAGGTATCAAAGGAGGAATAAATGATAATCCAGATGGTATCAAAATATCATATACCTATGACATAAAGTTTGAGGTATATAACATTATTTACTTTTTAAGTTAATAAATCTTTGTGATTGTTTACTATTATGTTTGTTATCTAGCCAAATAATAATTTAAAATGGGCTTCTCGCTGGGATTACATTTTGGAGTCTATGCCCCACACCAAGATTCATTGGTTCAGGTAAATCAATGTTTATCTTACTATACTTATAAGAGTTATCTTACTTACAATGTTTATCTTACTATACTTATCTTTATACTTAAAAGAGAATATTATTAATGAAGATTCTAATTATTAATGAAGATTCTACTCATATTTTATTAGTATTTTACTTTTTTACTTTTTAGTATCATGAATTCTATGGTTATTGTTCTTTTTTTATCTGGAATGATTGGCATGATACTGTTACGAACTTTACATCGTGACATTTCTCGTTACAATCAGCTGATTGATTCTGGGGTATGAAATAATACTAATTAGTTTATTTAAAAATGTGTCTAATAAAGTAATTATTAATAAATAATAAGTAATTATAAAGGAGATCATAAAGAAATAGAAATTGTTAAATAGAGAATAAATTTCTCATTTTAAATTTTATTTAAAACTTTTTATTAAGAAAATCTTTTAATGGTAATAATAAGTATGGCTAATCAGCCATTTAATCAATTAACTTTGTTTAATAATAAAACTATTTTACTTAATGACTAATTCTAATTTTTTGTATAAGTTAGAATTAGTTATAAATTTAAAATAATTTAATTAATTTTAACTCTTTCGTACCTATATATAATATTTGTAAACAGTAAAAATATACATACTATACTGAAAAAATACATACATACTATATTTTTTTTTAAAAAAGGAAATACTAATGATGATGGATACAAAGATCACATGACTGTTGCAAATTTTTTTTTTTTTTTACAAAAAAAAAAAGTCTGGCTTTATGTCTTAAAAATAGTTAATATAATATTTATCAAGACTTAAAACTTAAAACTCTATAAAGAAAAAAAAATTAAAATACCAGTGATAGCAGACATTATAATCACCTGAATTTTGCAAAAAAAAATTTTTTAATCAAAATCAAACACTCTAAAAAACTGTCAACTTAGGGGTTGTTTACATACAACGTCACTAATTTTTCAACTAATTGAGACCCCTCCCCTCTCCTCGTCACAACATGGTAACACTTTAGTAACAAGTTACGTATGAGTTGTCAATAAACCACTAACATCTCCCTCCCCCTATCCCTAAAGCATGGCGTAAATTATGGACTCCTTATTTCTATTACGGAGCCTTAAAAATTAGTTTATTACATCTAATTTTGAAGCTGAACATAAAGTTATCCTTTAAAGCATAAAATCAAGTAGTTTTGATGAATGGCTCTGCTTAAAAAAACCTTTAATTATTGATTTATTACTACAGGGTAACAACCCGTTTTGATGCGAAAGAGTTAAATATTAATAAAATATATATTAAATTAATAAAATATATAACAAACAACCAAAAACATAAAGTTAAAACAACAAAAATATTTTCACTGTAATTTAAATTTTGATTTTTCTTAGTTTAATAATATTTCTATGTTAGTTTATGATTTATATATACATCAAATCTTTACAGGAGATGCATGCGGTCGCACGCCTCATATGGCC